CTTCCCGCCAAAGGACAGACAAAGGACGCCCAATCAGAGAACAACAAATGTCCTTACTTTAAAACCAACTAATCAGGCCCCTCATAATTTGAAACCTCCCCTGTGCTATTTGTCTCTGTCCATAAAAACGCTGTACCAACCCTGATCGAGGCCTCTTAGCGTCACCGGCAACGAGTGCGCGGAGGTCCAGGTTCGAACCTGCAATAAACTACCCTTGCCGCCTGGCTTTGACTTACGACTCTGGTGGTCTTTTGTGGGAGGTTTTGGAACTTCAGGCATTACAATCTGAATCTGTGTTAAACTCAACAGGGGTTCATTTTGATGTCTCCAGCTCTCTCATTATCACATGCATCACTCAACCTTTCCCCTTGCTTGTCTGTAACCCTCCATTCTAACATTGAGAACCATGACTTCCCCTATCTGCTATACACTTAATTATTAAATTCTAGTTCACATATACAGTGAGAGAGAGGGGAGAGGGGAGAGAGAGATAGAGAGAGGGAGAATCCCAAGCAGGCTCCATGCTGTCAGTGCAGAGCTTGACACGGGACTTGATCTCATGAACAGCAAGATCATGACCTGAACCATGATCTTTATATTTATAAGAAATAATTTTTTTATTTATCTTTATAAGAAATAAATTTACTAACTAGAGTACAGTACATTTTTGCCATTAGTTTTACAGTTTTCACTCATTTTCAAAGTTATATACAATAATTCCCTATAGAATTCTATTGGTAAAATAGCTGTGAGGGCTAGAAACATCATAGGAGAATTTTCAAGTAAAGGAAAATCTGAGGCCCACAGTGATCATCAATTAAAATGTCTAGGATACCTCAGTGCTATAGTGGAGGAAAAAGTTTTCCTCAAACCTCTTAGGGCCCCTGGTTTGGCTTGAAAATTAAACTGACAAAGACCTATTAGCAGAAAAAAAGCATACACATTCTATTGAATTTTTACATATACATGGGAGCCTTCACAGGAGAGTGAAGACCCAAAGAAGTGACAAGAGAAAGAAGCTATTATATCTTTTATGCTTAGGGAAACAATATATTTGTAAAGAACCGGGACAAAGGAGTTTGGGCTAGAGGTAGCAAATGTTTAAGAAATAAATCGAAAAATAAGGATTAGTTTAACAAGGTTTGTTTGCACAGATTCTCATTTCCAAATTCCCCATATCTGGTGATAATAATGTCTTATTTCTGCCTGGTTCAGAAGGGATACATTCCACATGAGAGTTTTATGTCTGTTTCAGGAAAGGGCAAGGGGGATTGGGGGAGGTCAGAATGACCTTCCTGCTTTGGCTGTTTTTCAGTCTCCTTTAGCTTAAGATATTAAGTATACCATGGTGCCATATTTTGGGGGTAATGCATCCTGAACCCTGTCAGTGCCTACTTGGTTTTGACTTTTGAACAAGTCTATGGTATGTCAGAGCAATTAATTCTAGTAGTTTTACTTGATGCAACAGAAAAATGTGTAATGCCATGAAGATGTGTTTGACACAGGGTTGACAAAAAAACTCTAGATAGTTTTTTTTTAGGCTATATACTCTAAAATGACATAGTAGAAAAGAAGACTGAAAATATCTACATCAAAATGGCGGACAAGGATTATTGATACATGATAATATCATGGATGATTTTAATTTTTCAATTATTAAAAATATTCTACAATGAACAATTAGATTCTATAATATTGGGAGAAAATATGAATAAGTCTCAAAAGCCATTATTCAGATTCTAGTCTAGATGATATTAAATTATGTCAAGCAGAGAGAATTTCATCACAATTTAGAAGTAATCCCACAATCAGAAATACTGGTGCTTGCCATGATCATTCCAGATTATATTCATAGTTTTCTTATAGTCTGGTCAATATTGTTTATTAAGACCTTAATCCACTTGCACTTGCTCTTTCCTTAGTAAAAATTGACTTCTTATTAAAGAGGAATTATAGAACAAAAAGCTCTCCTGTCTAAAAGAATAGAAGTATTAATGACGAAATCATAAGTAATTGGATCTTACACTGGACACAAATATTATCTTGCAGCAGCTAAAATTAAAGGGTTAATTAACCTACTCATTAAAATTATTTGGCAGATTTAAGTTGCTTGGTTAATGATCACTGTATAATGCAGCAGGACGGAAAACAGTCTTATCTTTTTTTTTTCTAATTAACGTTAGTTACCATATAGTGTAGTATTGGCTTCAAGAGTAGAATTTAGTGATTCATCACTTACATACAACACCCAATGCTTATCCCAGCAAGTGCCTTCCTTAATGCTCATTTAACCCATCACTCCATCACCTCCCCTCCAGCTCTCAGGTTTTTCTCTATATTTAAGAGTCTCTTAAGGTTTGCTCTCTGTTTTTTTTTTCTTTTATTTTTCTTTCTCTCCTCCTCTATGTTCAGCTGTTTTGTTTCTTAAATTCCACATATGAGTGAAATCATATGATATTTCTCTTTCCCTGAGTGACTTATTTCACTTAGTATAATATACTGTAATTCCACCCACGTAGTTGCAAATGGCAAGATTTCATTCTTTTTGATCGCCGAGTAATATTCCATTGTATATGTTTGTTCTAGCTCTGTGAAAAATGTCTATGTAATTTTGATAGGGATCACACTGAATGTGTAGATTGCTTTGGGTAGTATAGACATTTTAACAATACTTATTCTTCCAATTCATGAGCAGGGGATTATTTTCCATTTCTTTTTTTTTTCATAAGCTTTCTACAGTTTTCAACATAAGATCTTTTACCTCTTTTATTGGGTTTATTCCTGTGCATCTTATGGTTTTTTTGGTGCAATTGTAAATGGGGTCGATTCCTTGATTTCTCTTTCTGCTGCTTCATTATTGGTGCAGCCAATATCTGCACATTGATTTTATATCCTGCAACTTTGCTGAATTCATGTATCATTCCTAGCAGTTTTTTTTGGTGGAGTCTTTCTGGTTTTCCATGTAGAGTATCATGTCATCTGCGAAGAGTGGAAGTTTGACTTCTTCCTT